TTTGGGTAATTAAGTACATTCTCAGAAATCGCTTATCCAAACATGAGGAATTAATCTTTCAATATACGTGTTAGTCAGATACCTGAAGAGGTTTCACGGCGGCCAAATATCTTTCTACTGTTTCTTCTAAAGGAGGTATGGGCAACTTGGGAAGATTATCTTGATATTGATAAGTCTTTTTATGATGATGCCTATTGTTAGGAGCCTCGACTTCGACCATCTTTTACCGGAGTGAAAGTATTATAGAGAAAACGGTGTTTGGCGTGCATCGTTCCTGGGCAAAAATAATATGTTGTACAAATGTTTGTTATTTGTATCTTGTGCTGGTGTGAAATGCCAACTCAGTCACGGGTGTTCATTCATCAGTTTATTATTTTAATTTGATATAATCTTTTTTTCTATAATCAGGCTGAAAAATTATGTAATGTTTTTTTTAATCAATCTCAACATAAAATTTTTTTTATAGATGTTGTATCAATTCTGTTTAATAAATATTGAATATTGCCAACATAATCGAATTGAGATCAATTTTTATATTATATATAGATACTGTACATATTATTTATAAATTATTTTAAATACATGTTAGATAGATTATATCAAAATAATTTTATATTAGCTTGTTTCTATTGATTTAATATCTGGTTTTATCAAGATTAATATATCAAGGTATTATTAGTATTGTTATTGTATAAAAAAAAATGTAAATTTTAAATATTACTATGTTTTTCTTCTGGTTTAATTAATTATTTATTAATTTTTTTTGCATATTATTTGCTTTTTCTTCTTATTTTTTTTCAGAATATTTTTTTATATTTTTTGATTAATCAATATTCTAGTATTCTTTTTTTTTAATTCCAAATTTTTTGTTATTTAATTTGTAATACTTTCAATGTTTTTTCAATTTTATATTATTAACTTAATTAACAATCTTTATTAACTCTTTGTTATATATTTCTTTGATAATATATTTATGTTTTTTTTCAATTTATTAACTAATATTTTTATATTGCTATATTATCTTATTGTTTTTTTTTATTTAATTATTTTATTTAAAAAATTTTTTTAAGAATTTATTTAAATTTTTTTCTAATTTAATACTTATAATATTTTTAAAAAATATGTTTTATAGTTTTCTATTAATTGTATTAAAAACAATTTTTGTTTTTATATATTTTTAATTTTCTTGTATTTAATTATTTTTTATTGAGTTTTTTACTAAAGAATTATATTAGAATGTTTTATTATTATAATTATTATAAAAGTTTTTAAAAAATTAGTAATAATTTTATAAAAAAGATCTGTAAATTAATAATATAATGAATAATGCTTTCAGATCTTCAAATATATATCTCTAGTTCAATATTTACAAAAAACAAAATATATTAATGAAGTTTATATATAGGTTTATCAGTTTTTCTAATATATGGTTTTAAATATTCAAATTTGATTTTTATTCAATTAGGTTATAAAAAAATAAGATCTCTGATTTTCCTAATAATTACAAACTAAAACAAATCTAAAAAAGAAGATTATATAAATAAAAACTTTTGATTTAATTAAATATATATTTATTAAAAATTTTTTTTCACTATTTAACATATTTATTAAAACTAAATAACTTTGAAAATGATTATTAATATAAATATTAATATAAAACTTATGGCTAAATAAAAATTGTATCTTATTTGATATTTGTATTCCTAAATTTGATAGTCTATATTAATCAAAATCTTTGGAGTATCTATTGGAAGATTTAAAAGTTATAGCCATTTGATTATTTTATTTCAAATTTAATAGTCTATATTAAAAAAATTTATAAAATATTTACTAAAAATTGTTAAATAAAACTATAAGTACTATTATTATATAAATTAAAAATATAAAATAATAAGAAACTCATATAAAACTTAATTAGTATATTATTATTTTATTTCTTTAAGAATTAAGATTAAATGATTTAAAACTGGTAATAGAATTTCTATATTCTTAAATTTATATCAGTATATAAATTTATTTTTGAGATAAAAAACTCTTTCCTATT